CTGGCCAGGGGACTGTCATGGTGGTAGCAAAGTGACTTTGCAATCAGAAGTTGTAGGCAGATCACCTAGAGTGGACTCCTCTAAGAATCCCAGTCAGGCTTCAAGGAGGTCCATGGTACCACTGAGAACTGAGAAAAGCTGAGATCCTCTGCCCCGTTGTACCAGCTGGACATTCCTTATTGATGATTCCTTGTGTGATTGAACATGTTTTATTATAAACTCATGTTTTGCTCTGGGAGTCTAGCACTGTAGTTGGGCGCTAGAGGTATTAGACAGGTTGTTTAGGCATTTGCATCTTATGTCAATGGTTTTTGTTGTGATCAAAATATATACAACATAAAAATTACTTTTTGGGATATCAGGTGTAATGGTATGTACCTGTAATTCCAGCACTCAGAAGGTAGAGGTAGGAGGAGGATTACTCTTGGCTACATAGTGAGTTAGAGGTCAGCCTGGGCTACATGGGATCCTGCCACAAAAAATACCAGATAAAAAGCAAGTGTGGCAGCACATACATATAGTGCAAGCACCTAAGCGGCAGAGTCAGGAGGAGGACTGTCACAAATTTGAGGGCAGCCTGGTCTACATAATGAATTCCAGACCTGCAAGAGATACATAGACTCTCAAAACAAACAAAACCAGGAGAAATCATTTTACCCTATTTGTTCCGGAGATTGAACTCAGAACTTCAAGCATTCTGTCCATGCAGTCAACACTGAGCTATGCGCCCAGGCCCATTTTAACCATTTCTGTGTGTATAGTTCTATGGCATTAAGTACATGGACATGGCTGTGCAACATCACCACTATCCATCACTAGGACATTTTCATCTTTTCCAACTAAAGCTCTGGACCCACATAACTATGAAGTCCCTATGTTCTACTCTTAGCCCTGGGCAACACTGTTTTACCATCTGATTCTATGAATTTGACTGCTCTTAGGCACTTACACAAATTGAGTTATAGAAAAACTTCCTTTCCATGACTGACTTATTCCATTTAGTAGCTTGTCCTTAAGGTGAATACATGCATTAGTATATGTCAGAATTTTGTTTAAAATTTTTTTAAGTAATTAATTTATTGTGTTCATATGTATGTGTTGTTCCCTGGATTCGTTTCAGAATGTTTCAGGGGCTGGGGGGATGTCTTAGTCAGGAAAGAGCTTGCTACAACAAGCGTGAGGACCTGAGTTCAATCCCCAGCATCCATATAAAAACGGCATTTGGTGGTGGTGGTTCCGAGCTTAAGAGGCAGAGACAAGAGAATCTCAGGAGCTTGCTGACCAACCAGCAGCTGAATCAGTGAGCTCTAGGTTGGTGAGGGATCTCAAAAACTAAGATGGAGATGTAAGGGACTACATCCAAAAATTCCAGAGCCCCCAGAAGGGGCTGAGCCTTCTAAGAGTTTTTTCTGGTATGGAGCAGGTTCCTCTTCTCTAATTTTGCATTGCTCAACTTAAAGAAGAGAGAGCCCATAGGTCAAAGCTCCAAGATGAGTGATATGTTCAGGTCTGGTCTTGGTCTCATTAAAACTGGTTTGCACCAGTCAGCTGGAAAAGGGGCCCTACCACGAGAGAGAAAAAAGCCTGCCTGGTCTTTGTCTCAGACGAAAAAGAAGCAGGAAGTGGGCCATCTTTATTATTTATTAGTGATCCTGTTTGTTTATTAAAGATTTAGTCCCTTACCATTGGCTACACAGTGAGTTTCAAGCCAGCCTAGTCTACAGGAGACCCTGTCTCTTAACAAATAAATAAGTAAATAAATGCAAGCTATATAAATCTTGTTTCTTTGACAGGTACCTACAGTGAGTGTTTCTTTCTTCATCTATCACTGCCCATCACTGTATGATTTCTTCTGATAATAGAACCATGATTTTTTCTTTTTGTAGAATTCTCCTCCCCAATGCTTTATCTCCAGATAAATGTATATGATTGAACATAATGATTCAGACTATATCACTGAGACACAACTCCAAGATTTCATTGGAAAATAAGTGCTTTGTTTGTTCTGGAAAGGTTAGGTAAAGAGGAACATAAGTTGAACACTGGATGTGATGGTTAGTTTTAACTGTCAACTTAGAATCAGAAATAACCTAGGAAGAGCTTCTCAGTGAGGGGTTGTGTAGAGCAGATTGCCCGGTGGGCATGTCTGTGAGGGATTGTCTTGATTGCCTTAAGGGATATGGGGAAGATCCAGCCCTAAGTTGGGCAGCACCATTCCTTGGTTTGGGGTCCTGGACTGTATGAAGAGTAGTGAAAGCTAGCTGAGTACAAGGCATGTAAGCATTCATTTTTCTCTGCTCTTGACTGTGGATGTGGTGCAATTAGGTTCCCTCCTTAACTTCCCTACGATGATGGGTTGTCACTGGGAAGTATGAGCTTAAATACATTCTCCCTTAAGTTGCTTTTTGGCAGGGTATTTTATCACAACAAGAGAAGTGAAACTGCAACACTGGAGAAAGTTGGAAAGGTAGAAAGAAATAACTAGTTAAGAACAGTAATGAACAGAGAGGACAGAAGACACTGTGTCAATGACATTGTCTGCAGCCCCAAGTCCAGCACTATCTGAGGTTACCCATCCATGGATTTTTCAGTTATTGTACCAAATACAATACACTTCCTTAAAGTGGTTTTACTGAGTTTTTGGCAGTTGCAAGGAAAAGCCCATAGTATCATAGTACAAAAGAATTCCATTCATTACGCATAACAAAATGTCTAAAAATCCTCTTTCCTATGTCTCAGTATCTAGTGTCACTTAGAGTGACAGCTGTGCTAAATCCTAATGTCATTCTCAAATCTCCCCGAGTCAGCTCATTCTGGGTCCCCTTCATTCCTATCTTCAAAATTTTTCTGGTTCTCTTCCTCTCCCCGCTCCTTCTTTAAAGAAAAATATCATCTTAGCTGAGCCTTGCAGATATAAGGTCCTTTTGTTTCTCTGTTCTTTACCGAGATCAGTACAACTAATGCCTGTGTGAACAGCAAATGACCCTTCCTCATGGAAAGGATGGAAGATGGGAAATTGTTTTGTTCTCGTCTCATTTGTATTCAGAACAAGTAGGTGTTTGCTAGGACATTAATTCTGTTTGCAAATAACTATGTCTGGGGGTTCCTTTGAGTAACTTTGCCAAGATATTGCCTTGGGTTGTTTTGTTTTGTTTAGGGGAGGACTCAAACTAGCCAAATAGTTGGCTTGTTTTTACAGGCTTAAGAAACAAGTAGTCATGTCCTGAATTAAGACCAAGCTAGGGGCAAATGACCAATTCTTTCTCTATTGCCCCTTTTTCTTCTTCGGGAGCATTCTTTGGTTTTTCTTCAGAAACAGCTGGAGACTCTCAATCCACAATTGCCTCACTCAGTAGCTTCTTCATAAGCACATTTATCTGATGCTGTGCCTGGGAGTTAGGCGTGTCCTGGAAATACTGACCCATTCAAAAGTGCCGGCAGCAGCTGGGAGAGCACCAGCACTGCTCTGTGAGGATCTAGACGTCTCCACACACCAAGAAGCATGCACAATCCTTCCTCTTATGCTAGATACTTAGAAGGTTCTCAGCCCTCTTGTGAAGGCATTGGTTACAAATGGTCAGAAATCTATCCTTGGGTCCACTCAAGCTGTTGTTGGCATTCATGGACTAGGGGATCTTAATAGAAAGATCCCTCTTTCCCCCTCTCTTTTCCCCTCACTTCCTTCCTTCCCTCCTTCCCTATGCTGAGATTGAAGCCAAGGCCTTTCACGTGCCAGGCAACCACTCTGTCACTGAGCTAAATCCTTGCCCTTGGTTTTTTTGAGAAGATACTAGCCTTGAACTCAAGATCTTTCTGCTTCCACTTCCAAGTTCTAAGGTTATCACCACTCTGCTGGGTTCCCTTTTTTTTTTTTTTTAAATGGTATTGTCAATATCAATGAACTAAAATCTTTTATAATATCTTGAAAAAGTAAAAATAAAAGGTGAATTAGTTGAGAACATTTTAATAAAGGGACTGTTTTTAAAAGTGTGTGTTAGGCCGGGCGTGGTGGCACATGCCTTTAATTCCAGCACTCGAGAGGCAGAGGCAGGTGGATCTCTGTGAGTTCAAGGCCAGCCTGGTCTATATAGTGAGTTCCAGGACAGCTGGGGCTACAGGGAGACCCTGTCTCAAAAATACCAAAATAGTAAAAATTTTAAAATGTGTGTGTTGGGGGGGGTGGGGGGGCGGCTGGAGAGATGCCTCAGTGGTTAAGAACACTAGTTGTTCTTGCAGAAGACCGGGGTTTGAATCCCAGCATCCACATGGCAGATAACAACTGTCTGTAACTCCAGTCCCAGGGTATCAGACAGCCTGTTCTGACCTCTCGGGCATTGCATGACATGGGTGCACTTACCTACATGCAGGCAATACATGCATACACATTAAAAAAAAAAAGTGTGGGGGGGTGGGGTGTGTGTGGGTGTATGTGATGCTTAAAGGTGACTTCTGGGAGCCATAACCAGACTGGGAGGAGAGCAGCTATGGTAAGGTGTGCAGGAGAGAAGCAGAAGAAAGGATCTCAGGGCAGAAGTGCCGATTTTCAGATGAAGAACTGCCACTAACGGAGTGGCCCTGTCTTCTGGATGCCTCTCACTTGCCCACACCATCTGAAAGCTGGAGGGCATTGAAGTAGCCCATAAGGATGAGTCCAGAGTCATCCAGCAGGATGGAAGAGGATCTGAAGGGGCCGAGGAAACCCAGCAGGAAAAGCCTGTCTTTTCCCAGAGCTAACACCATAGCTCCGGTCTGGCCTTTGGCCTTTCTGGCCAGGCTCAGGTCACAGCCTTCCTGCCTGTCTTCCTTGACTGTCATTGTCATTGTGACCAGATCCATTTCTGAGAGATTGTATTCATTTGGCTTGGGGATTGGGGTCCAAAAAGCGGAGTGTGTCTGCAGTGCCGAGACGTTTCCCAGCAAAGAACTCCTGGGTAGATCCAGGAAGATTCAGGACCAATGCTGGACACCTTCTTAAACACCGATTTTAGTGCGCACAGCGGGGTAGAAATGAACGGAGACTGCCTCCTTGTCCCTTCCCAGAGGACCACGTCGCCCTGGCTGACAGGCGATTGCTCAGGCCTCGGCTGAAGGGCAGGTCCCTGAGTCCAGGCGGGTCCGGGTGGTCTCCTGCGCGACTCACTCCTGCTGCGGCCGCGTGGGGGTTGGGGCAGCGGAGAGCGCAGGCGCAGTGCCCGTGCCCGTGGGGCCCCTCTCCCTGCTCGCTGCCCCTGGCAGCCGCGGCCAAGATTGTCCCCACCACGCGCGACCTCTGCAGGCAGGTAACTGCGCCCGGGGGTGGGGGTGGGGGTGGGGGGGCAGCAGGGGCGCTGCTGGACTCAGGTAACTCGGCGGCGCCGGGAGGAGCGAGAGCGCCCCAAGCCCTGTGGGTGGCGGCGGGCTGGCAGAGCTTCACCCGGGGTACCCGGAGGCTGGAGGACCTTCGCTCGGGGGGGGGGGGCGTCTCCGCGGGACGCCGGAAGGCCACCGGGTCCCCAGTTCCCAACGCTGCTGTCCCGGAGAACCAGGACCCGGGGTAGGGGCACCCGGGGTAGGGCCGGTCAGCATCAGCCCCCGCCTCCTCCCAGGTCCTGCGAGCGCCGCAAGCGCGGGCCTGCCCCAGTCTCCATGATGAAGGCCAGGGGCGATTTTCCTTCCTCTGGCCCTGGAGACCACACAAGCTCGGTGAGCGCCGGTGGCGCCACAGGATCGATTCCAAAGGCAACTTTCAAAAATTGCCGGATGGTTTTAGGAATCTGACCGAGATTTTGGAATTGCCATCACTTCCCTGTCCCGTGTCCATGACTCTTGAACGCCAGTGTAGTTCCGTGGTTGTAGAAATCTTGTCCCTGGGAGAGGATGGTGGAGGAAGGGCTTGGCCACTGGCAAGTGTGGAGGCCGAGGCGGGGACAAGTCAGTCCGACCCCATCCAACCACCGAGAAGAAAACACGGATGCGCCCGGCAGTTCTCAGGGTTAGAATTTACTCTGAGGGTTAGAATTTGGCTCATTATGGAGCGAAGGGTCGCGAGAACTGGCGGGAGGGAGCCCCAGGCTGGGGCGGCAGCGGGCATGGTGGAGAGCCGCGTGTCTGCCTAGCTGTCGTCTCGCTCCGCGAGGAGCTGGCCTGAAAGTTTCCGTCCCAGAGACGTTCGAGGGGCCCCGGACACTACGCACCAGGAGAAGCCGAGGGGCGGCCCTGGAGGGGCGAGGGGCGACCGCTGTTCTTAGGGAAAGGGCTGGAGCAGAGACGCCCGTGTCCGTGGTGCTGAAGCGCCTCGCGCGCCCTCATCTACGACTTCCTGCACCTCCGCCTGCCTTATTCTTGTTTTGCACCTTTGCCAAAATAGCTCATCTCCAAGGCAGGTGGACTCAGTGGAGCCCCCAGACACTGAAACTCTTTGCAGATGGGTGGATCCTACTTTCCCGGGAAGAACATGGCAGGGAAATTTGGTTCACCTCGGAAGAAAAGATAAAACATACGCACGGGGGGCTGGAGAGATGGCTCAGCGGTTAAGAACACTGTTCTTGCAGAAGACCCGGGTTCGAATCCCAGCACCCACAAGGCAGCTAACAACTGTCCATACTCCAGTTCCAGGGGCTCCGACACCCTCTTCCGCGGGCATTGCATGACACGGGTGCACTTACCTACATGCAGGCAGTACAAGCATACACATAAAATAAAAATAATAAATAAAATACTAAAAAAAATAAAGCACGCACATAGAAAACTCGATCACCTGTGTGAGCATGTATACGAACCCTCATGTGCACGTGTAAGGTATATGTATGAATATGTGCATGCAAACACAATGCTCAACTCTTTTCAGAGCCAGAATGCACCACAAGCCACGTTTCCCTGAACTTTTTGTAATCCATCTTTTTTTTTTTTTTTGACACCTCTAGTGTGTTTCTGGACACTGCAGTACCACTAATTTTTCATAATCAGCTATTTCAAAGGCACTGTGCCTGTAGACTGAAGTGATTGGTGTTTGGCTGGGCTATTACGTATCCACACATTTAAATACCAGATTAATCTGTTCTAGAGGGCTTGGGAGTGTAACTCAGTGCTAGAGCACCTGCTTAGCATGCAGACTCCTCAGTAGCCCTCTCCCCCACAAAAGGAATGAAAAAGAGGAAAGCCAATTAGTTTAACAATATATAAATTGAAATTGTTACCAAAATGTTCTCAAAAAAAGTATGTGTCTGTGTCAATGTCTCAAATGGAATCCAGGGCCCAGAGCACGCTTGACAAGCACTCTACCACTGATCCTCATTCCCAGCACCCGAAGGAAGCATGTGCAAAAAGAATTAATGTAACTTTAATACAGAACAATATCTAGATAATTTTACTACAGAAATTTATAATATGAAATATGTGGCTAAGATGTTTTGTAATACTGGCAAATTCCATATATCTTGAGTGTGAAGATCTTAAGGATTACATTTGTAATTTAAAAATGTTGAAATCTATTTTTTTTCCTCAAGAAAAGCATGCTTAGTTTAAGAGATTTAGGTGACAGAGAAATACGACAGCGGAGAAAACCACTGAAAACAGTTTTCAGATGAGCATATTTGCATCTTAGATGGGTTATTCTTCTGTCTTGTATTTTAAACAACTTTTACTTATGAATGCTTCTATCCAATGTTTTCTTCCTACAGACAGTTAAATATCTTTTCCATTTTTTATTTTTATTTTTATTTTTTTTGAGACAGGGCCTCAGTTTTTCTCAGGCTGACTTTGAACTCAAGATTGTTCTGCCTTAGCCTACCAACTACTGGGATTACATGGGTTTATGGATGTGTGCTGTCACACCTAGAAAATACCATCTTTATTTTTCTTTTAGACAGTCTTATATAACTTCAGCTGGTCTCAAACTCACTATGTAGACATGGATAACCTTGAACTCCTAATCCTCCTGCCTCCATCTTCCAAGAACTGGGATTATAGTTATGCACTACCCTGCCTTGCCTAATATCATCTTTAAAATAAATTGTGGTAAGAACACATGAATTCTACCTTCTCACAATTTTAAATGTCAATTATAATGCATTACTACTGGCTACAGGTGGAACAACAGCAGCTCCTTGCAGTATATTCATTTGATTAACTGAAACTTTATGCTTATTGGTTAGTAACTTCCTGGTAACCCACTGGTAACCATCGTTTTACCCTTTTCTCTGATTTACCCAGTCCATAACCGAGATCATGCAGTAGTTCTCTAACTGTGGCTGGTTATTTTACTTAGCACAGTTTCATCTGTATTTTTCCATATTATAGAATTTTCTCATTTTTAAAGACTGAACAGTATTCTATTGTATTTACATATGCTCCATTTTCTTTATCCATTCATGTGTTGATGGGCATTTGGATTGTTCCAACTGCACATAACAGTTTTGAAAAAATATTTGAACACTTGTTTAATTATAATCTTGGAACAGAATTCTAGAAGAAAATTTATGGTTCAAAAGATATTTTTACTTTTCTGGTATCCCAGTTTAGTCAAATATTTATTTCCTTTCTATTCTTTTTGGCATCTACAAAAGTACCACCACATTCACAGACTATTTATTGGGTGAACATTATTTCCAATTGTATCAGTATGTATAACAGTAAAGCTGAGTGTCAGTAACTTCATATTTTCACCAAAATTAGGACTTATCAGTCTTCTAAAGGTATTTTCTAATTGGACAGGTAGAAAAGAGCATCTATTCATATGTTTCTTAACTATTTTTGTTTCTCATTTTGTGACTTGCTGGCTCATATCTTTATTTTTCTCTTAACATGCTTATTTTATGCCATTATATTCCATGTGCTGTAATTTTTCTTTTAAGTTTTTATTGTGTTAACTTTGTTTTTAGCATTATGTTACATAGAAATTTTCAGATTGATTAATATATGTTAAAATTCATGTGTCTCAGTTTCTTCTGTTGCTGTTATAAAATACCCTGAAAAAGGCAACTTAAGGGAGGAAGAGTTTATTTTACCTTAAAGTTCAAAGTACAGTCCATCAAGGCAGGGAGGTCAAGGCAGCAGGAGCTTGAAGCAGCTGCTCAGATCACATCCATAATGAGGAACAGAGAGTGATGACTGCATGTGTTCTGTTCATCTTCCTTTCTCTCTTCAGAGCCCAGCTAGAGAATGGTCTCACCCATAGTAGATGGTCTTCCCACCTCAATGAACAAAATTGAGAGAATTCCCTATGGACAAGCCAACAGGCACATCTCCCAGGAGAGTCTAGATTTTGCCAAGTTTATGATTAACACTAGCCATCACGGTATATACATGTTTGTGTGGGCATGTTTACATGTGCGTGGTAGTGTGCCTGCAATGTGTGTGTGGAGAGAGTTCTGGCCAATGTTGGGCATCTTTCTCCATTACTGTCTGCTTTATTTTTTGAGACAGGGTCTCTCACTTAACTTGGAGCCCACCAGTACAGGCTGATCATTGAGGTCTAGGAATCCACCTGTGTCCCCCTCCTACCACCCAGTTCTAGGGTTACAGATGTGTGCTGCTGGTGGGCTTTTATGTGGGTACTAGGAATCTGAACTCAGGTTTTCATGCTTGCCCAGCAAGCACTTTACTGACTGAGTAAAGGCCGTCTTCCTAGCCCTTATGTATCAATACATTTTAATTGTAATTTCACTTTAGCCTCTCAGGTGCTGAGATTACAGACAGGTACTTGCTTCTGTTGTTTTTCATATGTAAATGTCTTCTCATGGGAACATTATTTTAAGCTTTGAATTAGTCAATGATTCATTCATAATTTTAAAAAGATTACATTTTAAACCTTAGGTTTATCCTCTCATTTGTTTTTTAAATTAAATTCATTTCATTACTACATGTAAGATTCTTTAGGAGAGTAAACAATAAGAAATACTTATTTCACTTTCCTAACATGTACAAGACCCCGAGTTTAGGGGGGGGATATTTACAATCCATATATCTGTATCTCTATTTTTTTCTAAGAGAAGTAACATACTCCTCAGTTTGAATCTTCAGTGTGGTGTATTTAGTTTTTAGAAATGTAATGACTGTTTTTACTTTAAACATTGGTTGGTTGCGGTATTTTAGTACTGTTAGTATGTAGTCTTTTTTCTAAAAGCTATTCCTTGAGTATTTTTTTATAGCAGCAAGAAAATGTGGCCAAGTCCACTAATTAGCCGAACTGGGACTTTATGTCAATAAGTTTCTGAAAAGAGCCACCCACGCAGAAGAATGTATACACGTTAAGTTGGTCAAATGCCTTTTGGCATCTGTCTATTATGGTTCAAAAATTCTG